TTTCAATTTATGTGAATCTACTTGATCGGGTATAGAGTTTAAGAAAAAAAAAAAGACTTTTGAAGTTGTAGTATAAAATGAGACATATATATTTATGTGGTTATAAATTATTATATTGTATACGATAGAAATCGGGGCTACCCGATTTCGTGGGCTCAACGGTCACTTCAAGAGCGAGATCAAAATAGACCAGAAGTGAGCCCGATGGGAGGCTTCGAATATCAAAGTGTTCGATGAACATCGAGACCGAACGTGACCGGCCTCGAGATAATGTCGTTACGAGTTTGTAACAGAATGAGCAAGATTCTCACCACGTCCCCAAGATCATGGCGTAAATTCCGGAAGAGATTTGTACGAGTTAGTACTAATCCGTACTAGGCGGTTAGACAGTTGTCCCAATAAGATTCCTTAATGTAAATAGAAATGTACCTTATTTAGGTTTCCCCTATTATATAAAGGGGACCCCAATCATTTGTAACCAGGATCAACCATTAGCAAAAAATATACTCTCTTACTTTCTGGTTCATATTTTATCAGAATTGTCCTTTTACTTGGTTGTTCTTATTTCACTGTTCCTAATCAACCTCGAGGCCATCTAGCTCGAGGTCGAGACTGTCTTGCACACTGGTTTGATTTACTTATTTCCTTCATTTATACGTTATACTCCTTGGTTATTAATTGTATTGACCTAAATCACATATCTTTAAAACCACAAATCAAGTTTAATTGTTACTCGTATTTTCAAAATAAACAGTTTGGCGCCCACCGTGGATTTTGACCTCGATCATTTCTCCTCTCATTTCGTGCAAAGCTTTGCCTAGACCCACTGCTTCTACGGTCTGCGTTATACGGTTGATATCAATCTCTATTCGATCTCGGCTCTTGATCGATGTCCCATTTGATCCTACCCATGGGCCTGCTAGGATAAACGGACCCTGAAGGAGTCCTCAGTTGATCATCCTCGACTCTAATCTTTGACTGATACCGATTATGTATGTCGGCCCAAGTGACAACCGGGTACTCGAGTAAACTTTGCTTCAACTGATGTGAAGCTATAAAACTCTGAGTATTGAGACCTTGAGTGAAAGTTTGAGTAGCACAACCACCGGTGACCGGAGGCAAATCCATTCTCTCTGCTTGGAACCGAGATACGATTTTCCTGAGCATCTCGTTATCTTTATCCCTTACCTTGAAAAGGTCCGACTTCCTCGTTGCAATTTAATGGCTCCAGCGTGTGCTTTTACAAAAGAATTTGCAAGCATTGCAAATGAATCGATAGAATTAGGGGGTAAGTTATGATACCATATCAAGGCACCCTTGGACAGAGTCTCCCCGAACTTCTTCAGCGGTACGGATTTAATTTCGTCATCTTCCAAGTCGTTTCCTTTGATGGCACACGTATACGAGGTGATGTGTTCATTCGGATCAGTCGTCCCATTATACTTAGGGATCTCGGGCATACGGAACTTCTTGGGGATTGGCTTTAGAACCGCACTAGGGGGAAGTGCCTTTGCACGAACTTTTTAGAATCTAGTCATTCTAAGATCGGGCCTGCCCTCGGTACTTGATCAACACGGGAGTTATAAGTCTCCACTATTTTATCATTATCCTCAATCTTTTCTCCCCGGACTCGATTCTCTTGGTGAGTTCCTCGAGCATCCTCATAATTGTGGGGTCAGTCTCCGAGCCATTACCGTTTGACCTCTCCGGCACCGGCTCAGTACGTCGAGTGTTCCCTAGTTCGACCATACTTAGAGTTTTATTCTGACTTTGAAGTTGAGCGATGGCAATCTGTTGAGCTTGTAGCATCTTGAATATTACTTGGAGGTTGATTTCCCATCTCATATACCCTGTGTTCCTTGGCCACCAGATCTGACTTCCCCGCATACACTTCCCCCCGGGATCTGCGCCTAAATCCACATTTAAAGCAATGAGTGAACTAATATCAACTGGTTCTACATTTGGCACTTCTCCAGGGTTAATCGATGGTACATCGGCTCCCGGAGCAGCTACATTTTTGCTTTCCCCATGAAATCCAAGAACGACATCGCCGTGCACAGGCACATTTTGTGAGTTTGACATGTTTAACCTGAAAACAAAGAATCTTTGACAAGAAGAAGTGTGAAAATAGCATGTATTATCAGAATTAGTACTGAACTCGAGTAGCCCTTGGGCTTAGTAGTCAAGCAAGTCCTTACTCGATCATAAAATCCCAAGGGCTATCTTAACCCGAGTTCGAGCAAACTCTCACTCGGGGACTATCTATGAAGCCTAAGGGCTAACTCTGTTTCGAGTTCGAGCAAGTATCCACTTGACTACTATTAGTTTGTATGAGTCCACCAAACAGTAGAGTACCTGGTCCTCTACTGAGAATGCTAATAAAACAGTAAGTAAATAAGACACGGGATTTTTACGTGGACAAATTCCAACTCAAGGGGACAAAAAAACCATGGCCTACACTCGTAGGCTTTCAACTTTACTAACTTGTAAACACCTATTACAATCCACTTTGTAATGACTCCATTAAAAAGAATTCAACTCAACTAACTTGTAATACTCTTACCACAAGCCACTTTGTCACTCTATACTTATAAAGACTTTAACTTATGACTAAACCTAGTCACAACATAAACTCAGAGAGTTTACGGATTTTACAAGAGGGTTCCTAATCAACGCTTCTGGCTAAGCAATTTAGGAGATACAATAAGAACAATCACAAAGTTACAGCTCTACTAAGGACAACAAAATACTAACTTTAGGAACTGGTTCGTAGTAGCGTTTAACTTTATTCTTCAAGCTCATGAGAATTATTTCCACAGTTTTTGTAAAAGGCTTGAATGAATATCACGAGTGTTCAAGTGATGTTTTGATATAAACTCCTTGTTGATAAACCTTGATGACATCACTTGAATGATGTAAGCACTTTAGTTGGTCAAAAGATAAGTGGCCACTAGAAACAGTCCAGTGCAGGCAGAAACAGTGCAGGCAGTACTCTTCCAACTGTGTCCAATTGACTTCGTACTGCTATGAGGGAACCACAAGAGTATCAAGTCCTTGTTTGGTTCTCTATCTCCTGAAGCTATAGCAATTCACATTTAGCTGGAATCCGTTAACTTGCAGTGTAGCCCAAGTGTGTCAGGTTCCCTATCTGGTCCTTGACAGTAAGTTTGTTAGATCATCAAAACATAAGGCAAAGAAATTAAAAACCTATCAACTACTAAGCCCAAGGGCTACCTGAGTTCGAGAAATTCTCACTCGGGGACTATCTTTCGAGCCGAAGGGCCAGCTCATCTCAAGTTCGAGCATGTCCTCACTTGGCCATAAGGCCTAAGGGCTATTTTTATTTCAAGTTCGAGCGTGCACTCACTTAACTATCAAGACCAAGGGCTACCTTACCTCATCGAGTGTTGAGCCTAAGAGCTACTCAAACTCAAGTTCGAATGATCATTCGGGAACCATTGATCAGAAATGTTCGAGGGCAGAACTTATTGTCGTCGTTACTATCTCAAACTTTGAACATTCAAAAGGAATTTTATGCTAAAACGCTTTGACCCCCACAAAAGGGTAACAGATTCAGAAGCCATGGAAGGAAAAAGGCTTTGTATAAACCTTTTTACAAGAGCTATAGGTCATGATCAAGATTTCCTAGCAAGGGCCGATCAACCTCAAAAGCAAAAAATTACAAAGAGCACGAAACCTAAGCAGCACGGTCCTTATCGGTAGAAGTGTCTTGTCGTTATACGCTAAGAAACACGAGGACTATCTGTATACGGTAGAAATCGAGGCTACCCGATTTCGTGGGCTCGAGGGTCACTTCAAGAGCGCGATCGAAATAGACCAGGAGCGAGCCCGATGGGAGGCTTTGAATATCAAAATGCCCGATGAACATCGAGATCGAACGTGATCGGCCTCGAGATAATGTTGTTAGGAGTTTTTAACAGAATGAGCAAGATTCCCGCCACGTCCCCAAGATCATGGCGTAAATTCCGGAATAGATTTGTACGAGTTAGTATTAGTTCGTACTAGGCGGTTAGACAGCTGTCCCAATATGATTACTTATTGTAAATAGAAATGTACCTTATTTAGGGTTCCTCTATTATATAAAGGGGACCCCAATCATTTGTAACCAGGATTAATCATTAGTAAAGAATATTCTCTCTTACTTTCTGGTTCATATTTTATCAGAATTGTCCTTGGATGTTCTTATTTCACTGTTCCTAATAAACCTCGAGGCCACCTAGCTCGAGGTCGAGACTGTCTTGCACACTGGTTTGATTTACTATTTTCTTCATTTATACGTTATACTTCTTGGTTATTAATTAGTATTGAACTAAATCACATATCTTTAAAACCACAAATCAAGTTTAATTGTTACTCGTATTTTTGAGGTAAACATATATAAAGACAAATTATTTCCAAACATGGAAAGGGATCTTTTTTTGGCACAGACTAAAAATAAAATAGGTTCACGTAAATTGAAATGGAGGGAGTAGATAAAATGGGACTAAGGAATTTTTTCTCTCAATATTTTTAGAAAGAAACCCGTGTACTAGCGGATCTACATTTTGACTAATGGGTTACAGAAACCCACTATTATTTTTTTACCAAGATCTATAAATATATTAGGAAATATATTGGGTATTTATAAATATTTAATTTTGAACTCAATTATTATTAAATTTAACTTCGAATTGCTATAAAAAGTCGTAAAACTTCAAATTCTAAATTAACCCGCCTACGGTTAAGAAACAAGAACAGGATAAGAACACGCCTACTAGAGTTGACCAAATACTATTCCACTATAGAGGGTATTTTTTTTTAAATACATCTATTATCGCTGCATGTGGATCAAGTTACACTATAATGAGAATATTATGTGCTGTGTTCTCGTCGATTAACCTAATTAATTATATGGAAGCTCATGTTATGTTTTATTTTTTAAAAAAAATTTACATACAAAAAATAGGGGAAGAAAAAGTGGGGGAGGAAATTACAAGATGTGAAATTAAATCATCACCAATAATCTGAAAGTTCATGAGCTATTAACATCACAAATAAAGCAGAAGGATGAACTAACAATAGCAAACACAAAGTAAAAAAAATGAAAAGTACTCATCCCCATATGCAGGATTCTTCAAATGAACAACTCCGAGGTTTGTACTCCTTCCATCTCAATTTATGTGGAAGTATTTGACTTGGTGCGATGTTTGAAAAATAAAGGAAAACTTTTAAAATTTATGGTCTAAATTAATAAATAATAGAAATTTATGTGGCTAAAATCATTTCATTAAGAGTAAAAAAAAATTTAAAGCTAAATTATTACTTAATATAGAAAGATATCATTCTTTTTTTTTTGAACTGATTAAAAAAGAAAAGAGTATCATATAATTAGACTGAGGGAGTAATACAGTCAAATCTCTCTATAACAGTCGCGTTTGTTCCAATATTTTTTGGATGCTATAGTAAAGTGCTGTTACAGAGAACATATATTATAACATAACATAAAAAATTAATTCCGAGAAAATTAGAGTTTTATATAAGGATGATGTTACAGAGAGGTCTGACTGTATTATTTCAACCAGTTCCACCGCCAGGAGGCGCTCGTCTGGCCGGAGCTCTAGGAACATTTGCTTTACCTTCAGGGTATACAGGCGGCACATTATATTGTTCATTTCCTGCAGCTGGTTCATCATTATTATTATTTTCTGGTTCATCATATATTATATTGTTTCTTGGATCTCCAGGTGGGAATATTGCAAAATCTTGCTGCTCTTCCTCTGCATTATTTCCTTGTTCACCTGTAATTGGTGTTATTGGTGCATTTCCTGCTTCATCTATTATTATCAGTCCACCATTATCCTGGTAGTTTTCTGCTGCATCTTTTGCTGGCCCTTGGTCTAACAAAATGAACACGAGTTTATGTTCTATGTATGACGGTTAAAAATATGTATACAATGATATTAAGTCACTTGTTAATTAAGTAAGAATTTAAGCTCTATATGCATTAACGATGTAAAAAGACAAGTTACTTAAAAGTTAATTACAGGTAATTAATTCTAATTAATAAGAAGCATTTGATTTATAACTTAGATCAAATGATAAGTAACCTACTCTAACAAATTAAATCATGGGTCAATTGGTTTTATGGTTCTTTACGAACTTGTTTTTAGTTTTATGACCCTACCTTTTTTTTTGACACATGAGAGATTTACTTTTACATGTAAGAGATCTGTCTTTTACACATAAGAGATTTAAAAGGGTCTTTTTTTTAATTTTAAAATTATAAAGAGGCATGGTGTAAAAATAATATGTTAAATCACACTGATTGTATAAAAATTTATTACACCGTTAGTATATATAACTTAAATCATTGAGTAATTATAGGTAAATCTCTTGCTAACTATTACTCAAGTTGATAATTTGGTCAAAATAATGGAAGCTAACATGTTATTACATATAAGAAGAGTTCACTAATTGTGTGAAAAAAATATTACATTGATATAACTTTAAATCCGTTTAACATTTAGGGGTCGTTTGGTTGGAAAGATGTTATCCCAGGATTAATTATTTCGGGATTAGTTATTTCATCTTTTTATGAGGATAATAAAACACTATAATCCCGGGATAATTAATTCGGGATTAATTATATCATAATTTTCTCCCAACCAAACATGGGATAAACTCTTCTTAAATTTAGTCCCGGGATTAATTATTCCTTATCTCTCGTACCAAACTAGCCCCTCCCCCCAACCAACACACACACACACAAAACAAAATGGAGTTTCTAACATGAAAATTAAGAAAAAAAGGGCAAAGTTTTCCAGAAAATATAGTTTTCAACTCTTACCTTTAGATGATTTTCCACATGAAACGAGGTATACGAACAGATCTTGAATCTTGTTCTTCGTATCTGCAATGAAATTAGCCATTTTTCTTTATTTTCTTGGTATTGTTTCCCCATCTGATCAACTGAGTTTATAGGAGATTAAATGTTGAAATTTCCACTAATTACTTGTTATTAAAATAGAGCTTGAGACCCATGTGAGAAATTTTAAATTTCAAGACGTGATAGCTAGTTGTTGTATAAATATTCGCATTATTACATCTCTCTTTCCAATAAGACAGTTGGCTATCATTTTTCAAAAATTTTGACTTTCCAAACAGGCCCTTAAATCATTTTTCAACTCGATTGGAAATTATTCATGTGAACTTAGATATTGTTGTCTACAAAGGAAAACAACTTAGAAAAGTTAATTGCATTCACGGAAATAGTTGTTTACAAGGGGAAATTTTATTTATTTATTTATCAAGAAACAACCTGCAAGAGTTGCATAAATTTGAATAGCAAATATTATAACCATTTATCTCAAAATTGTTGTCCATTTTTTCTTATCGACAGTCAAAATAGTGGTGTTATTTGATTTTATAATGAAAAAGGCTAAAGTTTTACTTCTTCAGCCCTAACCTATTTTATGGGGAGAATGACACAGCTACCTACAAAAATAAAACTATTTATCCTTGTCTACCCATTTGTTTTTCTACCCATAAACTAATTACATTTCCTACTCATAGTAATTTTTGTGGGGAATTTTTTCTTTATTCTCCAATTCTTTTTTATTTCTATGCTTCTTTTCTTTTTTTTTCTTTTCTCCTTTCTTTTTTCTCGTTTTCTTCTTATTTTTTCTTTTTTCCTTTTCTAATTTCATTTAACTTCTTTTTTTTTATATTCTTTTTTCTCTTCATAATCTAATTTCATTTACTATTTTCACTATTTTTTATTATTTCATTTTTATACTATAACTAAAGAAAAATCAAATTGTGTACCAATTAAATGTAGCTAATACAATCAAAAAAATATTAACTAACATATGATATCAGTATAGTATATAGTTATACCAATAGGGTATTCAATTGTACGCAAAGAGTTAAAAAATTTAATTAATTATTAAATTGAAATAATATCATTTGTCAATAAATATTTCAAAAAAATTCTAAAAAGATCTAATTGTAAGAGTATATCGTTACATTATATAGCATAGTATATCTTTTATTATTTTTTTGCATTTTCAATTTGCCCCTCACGCTGGATAAAAGCTTAAAGCAAATTAAAAGGGAAAAGGCTTTTGATCATATATGCAAGTATTATCGCTTTTATTCCTATTTAAATTCTAATCATATGAGATATTATTTATTCTGTGTATATATAGACAAATCGCTACCATAACCCAGACGGCCAATTTGATAGAGAAAAGGCAAGAAGTTAACATCACAGCTTTGGAAAAGGTCCCTCGTGGTTGTGCTCTTTTAGTTTTAATTAGGTGACGACAAGAAAATATGGGACGAAATTAAAACTTTGAATAAGAAAGGCTGTGCATACTTGACGGTCTTTTTATATATGTCATTGTTGGCTAAACACGGGATAAATTCAAAGTGGAGAAAAGTGAAAAAATGTTCTTATCAAAAAAAGGAAGTAAATAAGCCAAATCACAGATCTTCTTAATTTGACTTGGATCCGATATCAAGAAACTATGTGCGCCGGGTAAATAGTATTGGTTGGTATGCATAGGTAAGAAAAGTAAAGAGAAAACGTAAAAATTGCACGGGTGTCCTGTTTGGTCGCCCCCATTTAACCTATACCCATTTTTTTTTAAACTTTTAACTTGTACCCACTTTTTAAATAATTTCAGCCCTCTTTCTCCTCCTTCTTCTGCTCCTCAAAGTTATATTCGCCTCTTCTTTCTCAAACTTTTCCTTCTCCCTTTTCTGTAAGAAATCTGTTACGGCTATGTATAAATTTAATTATAGTTAAAACCACTAATACATCTCTGTACAAAAGTACCAGAAATTTGCCGCTGAGATCAGTTAAGTTCGTTGGTTTTGCCATCATCTCTTCTTTCACAAGTGAACAGATGTAGTTAAATATCTTTCTTTAAAGTTTGAACAAAGATTCAAATGTTACTGAATTTCCTTTCTGTACTGAAGTCCCTCAGAAGCAACAAACAGAAAGAGGTCATATTTCATCATTGGCTGTAAATTTGCTGAGACTAAAGAGGTTCAAGTTTTTCGGCCTTTTTTTTTTGAAACTGTTTGCAACCATGACGACATTTCTCTTAGAAATGTCCAATTGATCTTTTGATATCATATATTGGAAGAGCAAAGCTTAGAAGTTCGTCAGTTACAAAACAAAAACTTCAGTTCTAGAGTTGAAGTTCGCTAGTTACAAAAACAAAAACTTTAGCTCTAGAGCTGAAGCTTACAAACAAAAAGCCAGTTACAAACAAAAACTTCAGCTCTAGAGCTGAAGTTTGACAGTTACAAATTAAAAACTTCAGCTCTAGAGCTGAAGTTCGCCAGTTACAAACAAAAATTTCAACTCTAGAGCTGAAGTTCGACAGTTACAAAACAAAACTTCAGCTCTAGAGCTGAAACTTACAAACAATAACTTCAGCTCTAGAGCTGAAGTTCGCCAGTTACAAACAAAAACTTCAGCTCTAGAGCTGAAGTTCGCCAGTTACAAACAAAAACTTCAGCTCTAGAGCTAAAGTTCGATAGTTACAAAACAAAAACTTCAGCTCTAGAGCTGAACTTCAGTCTCGGCTACTAGAATGCTGAAGTTTTGCGTGATTGTCTTTGCTACTTCAGCCCCGTATGCTGAAGTTATGTGAAAAAACGGGAACGTTTGGAAATTTTTTTGCAAAGCGGGCACAAGTTAAAACGTGACACAAAAAGCGAATATAGATGCAAATGCCCCAGAGAAAACTACCCTCTATAACCTTTCAAAATTTTATTAGCCCATGTTTTTCCACATGGACCCGAAATAGCCCTTAGGCCCAATGTATTGACAAGTTATAGCCACTATTTCCAATACACTTTCACTTTCTTTCAACCGCTTGCTTCTCCTCTCTCTATCTCTTCTCATCTTATCCGATCTTCCATCTTTCCCTTTCTTATCTTTCCCTTCTTCACTCCCTCCTTTTTTTTCTTTTTTTTTCTTCTCCTATAGCGACACCAACACATGTTTTTTTTAATTTTCTCTTTTTTCTTTGCGATCTCCTCTTATTTTACTTAGATACAGAAATATCTATCTTCTTTGAGTAATTTCTGGCAAAAGTCTGGCGGAGGTTGTCGCTTTCTTCTCTTTCTGTCCACTTTTAGATATAGTATTGTATGATATTTTTTCGGATGACTTTTGCAAGAAGATGAGAAATGGAGAAAATAAAATAGACGCTGCCGGAGAAAAGCTTTTTCTGGCCAAGTTTGGTATCCTCCATTATCATTAACGCTCCTTTATTTATACACTGTGTAATCAATGTATAATAATTGTATAATATAGTGTATAATCGTTGTGTATATATTATACACTAATGATACACTTATTATACAATACTGGACGTGAAAGATTACGGTGATTATGGTGAGTATTGAAAATATTGTATATAATATGTATATATAATGTATGGACATGTATATGGAAGGTGTATCTACACTGATATAATGCATATAGACTTTTTATACAAATTCAATATTCATATAATTTGTATATATTTTATATATAAAGTGTATAATAGTGAATATATATTGTTCGATGATGTATAAAAAGTGTATATACACATTATACTAGTGTATAATGTGTAGTCCGTGTAAAACCTATACATCACCTTCTTCCTCTTCTTATATCATGGGTATTTTTGCTTATGCAATGTCATATTTTTCTAGATTGAATCACTAAAATTTTAATTTTTTGTAAAAGATAAAAAGGGGTTTTTGGAGGTTATGGAGGAGACAGTTGGGTTTAATGAAATTTTTGGGTTGAAAGGGTGGATTTGACGTTGATTTCACTAGGTTGGAAGGAATTTTGGCGGGATTTTAAATATTTTGACTACTAATATTTAGTGTAAAAGAAGGTTGCATTGAGGAGCCAGAGTCTCCGTTGGTTTTCTCGGTTTCACTTGCTAGCCCTTATAATTGGTTTTGGGCTATGAATTGTATGCTTTATTTTATGGCTACCCGTTGTCATCAATTTTCACCGAAGGGCTATAAATAATTTTTGCTCAAAAGTAAATAGTTAGGTTTGAGTATTTAAGGGTAAATAGTTTAGGCTTAATGGGTATAAAGTGGAGTAAAATTAAAAAAATAGCCAGATTTACAACTGGTCGTTCAAAAATAGCATAGTTTCAAAAGTAATCGAAATTTAGCTATTTTTTATGTAAACATAAATCTGAGCGAAAATACTGTTCAAAACTCGAAAAATACGTCTATACTTGAACTCCAACATATTATATTGGAGTTCCAGGATAAGTATGCTAGAATTCCAACATAATATACTGGAGTTCCAGCAAGTATACCAGTCCAGCATAATATACTGGAGCCAGCAAAGTATACCGGTCCAGCATAATATGCTGGAGTTGATACACAGGTACACCGAACTCCAGTATATTATGTTGGACCGGTCTCTGTTGAAGCAAAATAGTGGCTATTTTTCATTGACTTGGTAAACGATGACTATTTTTGAATGACCAGTCCAAAAACTGGCTATTTTTACTATAAAGTGAGATTTTCTCTATTTTATGTGATAGTATTTAAATCGGGGAAGTTACGGAAGTTAAATATTAAATGTACCAAATTGTCATGGTTAAGTCATAAGTTAAGGTATGAATATATATAAAATAAATAAATAACTATATATATATATATATATATATATATATATTTATATTTATATTTATATAATTTTGGAAAATAGAAGAGTGAGATGACACCTCTATTTGACGGAACTCTATTATAGTTTTTCTCCTTTTAATGAGTTTTTTTTCATTTGTTTCGTTTATCTTCCTTTGAAAAGCTACCTTATATATCACACTTTTTTCAATATGCCATCTCTCTTCGGTTTTAAATTTTGAAATTGCAACGATCGAACTGGCGATTGTCAAAATCCTATATGGGAACAAAGTGATCGTGCTTTCTCTCTTTGCTCGGAAAAGAGTTAAAAATACCCCACCATTTGGTAGATGATTTACTTATACTTTTCGTTCAATTTT